TAAAAGAAGAGCACCAACGTCATCGGCGACCAACAGCATGCGATCTCCACAAAATATAAGGAATAGTACCTCATTACAAGAAATAGCATGCGGAGGACTTGGAGGGCAGAATTCAGTGTGTTGCCTCTCATGTTATTATGTTAAGAAATCCATAGCCGTCTTTCACCAACTTGACCAAATTTCACGAAATACGACGAACCCCATGAACTATGCGGGTCGCACGAACGAAGCAGATCGAAACACACCGAGAGTGATAATTTTGGGTAATTAAGAAATGAATCGATCTGCGTATCTGCAACAAATAAACATATGAAATAAACGCGTTTCAGTGTCCGGCAAACTGAGGAATCTAACCCGCTCAACGGCAAGCCCTCCGCGCTACTTTCTGCTTATCAATCTTGGGACATCAGGTGGGTGCAGATGGTTGCATACCCTACAAACCAAAGGACAGTGAAATGGAAGTGTAGCTTTCATGATTACTTTTATGGTTTTTATGAGGGCCGGGACCTCCTTAAGGCTGAATACCTTCCAAAATGTGATTTGTAAAACTTGTTTGACTCTATTTCGTCAGTGCATGTAGCACAGGAGCAAGGAGGAATTTGAATATCTTGAATCTCCTGAGAAACAGGGCAGCAAGCCGTTGAATTTTAAACAGTATGAAGAACTAGTTGTTCTGCTGTGGTCATAGCAAAACGGAGGCGGGAGGGGGGTTTGGCCATGCGATCTGATGAAATCGTTTTTTTAGGGCTGCAATTCGTCTTGACTCACAACACAGCTGACTACGTAACACCTGTTGTTGTTGTTGTTGCACAGATTCCGCGGTTGTGGGCACCATCAGAAGACGGGAGTCGAAGTTTGCCAATTCTAGACCAACCAGCACTGATCGTCTTCAGGATAAAAAGAGACGTTCAACTCATGTTGTTTGACCATAACGATGACAATAAAACAAAATCTTTAATATCGGTCACTTTGTTGTCTGCGTTGTTTACAATCGTCAAATCCATACACCCCCTTACCGTTATATATTACTTTACTTCTGCACTCACTATTAGAGATGCAATGGTGCTAGGTGTTATTCTGCGGTTCTGTTTATCAGCTGAGACAAAATTCCCCTTCAGGTCCAAGTTGCGTCTAGTTTCCTCGTTTAGATCTTCCGGTACGGCGTCATCTTCACGCAGTTCTCTTTAATTACCGATGATAAAATGCGACATTAATATTAGCAGAAAAAATCGTTATAAGCTTTTTTTTTCGATTCAAACTGTGCAAATACGGATTACGCATGGTGATGGCTGAGGTATTCATTTTAAAAGTGAGGGCTGAGGTGAATTTCACTCCACAATATTATTGCGCTTTGACTGTCCCAATTTTTATTGAATAATCTTTGCACACGGGTAATGGAAAGCAAGAAAATGAAAGTGCTTGAAAATGGAAGGTAATTAATCCTAATCTCCCACCCATACATCCTTAATTAGCTTCCTCTTTAACAAAACCTGTTTTGTTTCCGCCTGACTTCTTAAGAGCAAAGAATCGCTGAGTCTGAGATGAAGGGCTGCCTCCCTTTGGTTGTTCTTATGACTGTGAGATTTGAACCGGGGTTGGGGGGGGGTGATGCGTGTTGCAATCGTGATGATAAGGCTATTGTTTGCTCTACAACAGAATGGACCTCGTGAAACGGTCACCGTTCACCTTACAAAAGGATAAAGTTTAAAGTGAACAGTACGCGGTCACTGTACTTTTGACCAAAACTGTATATGACCACTGGCGTGTCCCCTCACGGACAAGAACAGAAAATCGTAACGAAAATGACGGTTAATCGTTTGCGCATGAGCAATCGGATAGGCGGTAGTCCAAAGGGGTAAATTACCGCAGCTCCGTGGTGACAGGTGTCTTTCGAGGCGCGTGTCGTCGCGAGTGCTGGTCGGCGTTGTCCTCGGTGACTCTTACTCTTAGAGGCGGTGGCCTTGGCGGCGCGTGTCCAATCCGCCAGCCGTCACAACAACGCCGAAAGTGAAACTAGGGACTAGAGCCACGTCAGGTTGACAGCCACGTCTCCTGTCCAACCCTCGTTCGTCCCACCTGCGATGGTGAGCCACGTGACATCACGTCATCTGTCCGTTTAATACTGCCTCATGTGGCGATGTCGGTGAGGAGCGCCACGAACCTCCGACACTGCACCAAACAGAGGAGTGCGACTGCGCGCCACGGTAGCGGTAGAGTCGAAAATCAATCCGACTCCGAACCCTATCAACGGTGTTAATCGAAGCTGACGAACGTGGAGTGTAAATGAGCATTTACTGCAGTTCTTTGCAACTACAGCTACTGCCTGACGAGTGACCTTCGTCGTCGGAGGCTAACTGAGTCTTGTGACCACCAGATCGTCGGTCGTCAGAGCCATAGTGAATCATAGGACAGTGGCCAGTGTCGGACATCGGACTGTCGAGCAAGCTCACCTCCAGATGGACGTGGGCCATGCATGGCTCATTAACGCCCAATCAATTACACAATTTCTAGAAAAACTATAAACAGAAAAATCGATGGCGAGAACGCTGCTAATGACGACTACGAATGGCGTGGCACGAAGCCCAAACTCCTCAAGCCTGCCGCAGCGACGACGGGATGCGACCATGTCAGCGCGATGTGGGTTTCTCTGGCAGTTTCGAACGAAGGCAAATCAGCCTGTCCTCATTCAACTACCTCCAAAGAAAAAAGTCCAAGAAAGAACAAATATAAAAACATTAAATAAAAAAATAATCACATCACCTCACCGTGCCTCCATGACCACCGATGGACCCTATTCCGCAGGCTGCATGACCGTAACAAACTGTGAAAGCAAGGCGCTGGCACCGTTCTCCGTTTTTGCCGTCTCTTCAGGTGAGTGAGTTATAAGAAGCAAAAATAACACCAGGGAGGGATGCGTTCCTCGGTGACTACGACCGACGACAATGGCAACATTCCCGTGAGGGGAAATCGATAAAAACTCGTCGGTGGCGCGCTGCAACGGCTAGACCTAGGACGATAAGGAGAGCGGCGAGTATCGACGACGGCGACCACAACGGCGAGGCAAACTTCTTCAATGATGGTAGGGCGGAAATGACCATTGAAGGCGGCGTCGTTGTCCCGACGACGACGACGGAGTCCAAACGAATCCCAAAATGCGCAGGCGCACTACCTCCACCGAATCACCGTCGTTACTCAGTTTCTAGCCAATCAAAAACGGGT